TAAAACGTATAACAATGTTAAGACCTTCGAGAGATTTAGAAAATATTTTTCAAGATGAAAAATAAAACAAAAAAGAGGAAAACAGGAGACAAGAGAAAGGAGAAAAATAGAAAAAGAAATGTACAGTTTAGAGAAATCTTATTATATCGTTACATTTTTATTTAATTTTACATTATATACATGTTCGAAAAAATAAGAATAATATCTTATGATAAAGTACGTTTAACAATATTAGTATGAATATAACATTTGCACAAGAGCTTTGATACAATATCAAAGAAAGAGGATCCACAATAAGAGCGTACTGTCACCTTTTTTATCACGATCGTCTCGTTAGCGATAAGACCACCTTTCCAATAAATGCGGCATTGTCTCCATCTTTGTCGGACACAGAGGGGCGCCCATTAATGACGCATATCTCACGCAAGATCGAGTCCGAATAATCCTCTGTTAAGACGATTGCCGACTTAGTCGGCGAACACCGAGGACTTATCGAGATGGTCGTGTTAACAATTCCTTGAGAGTGAACGAGGCTCGGAATGAAGGAAGAGGAAAAACAAATCGACGGATCGTTAACGATCGTATTTATCGCGGGAATTTAAAAAATCGGCCTATCGACTGAGTTTATCGCCGCGTCCACCTCTCGGGAACGGATAATTAAAGATTAAAAGCCCTCGCACCGCTCCAAGAACGCCTATATATAATTAATGTTGTCTTACATTTTGCTTACATTGTCTTACGTTTTATATCTCGTTTTTCGCGCAATAGTAAAAATATGAAAAAAAACAGTTTTGATTTCTACCTTATTAGACATTAGTAATAATAGTAGTAGTATGATTATAGTGAATGATACTATTACAATTCCCGACCACACCTAGATTAGAGTGATTCACTGTCTCCTCACTCTTGTAGTTAACTAAGTGTTTGGCTCCCAGCCTAAAGCCTAGCATTAGGCTTATTAGACCCATCACCCTTGCTCTTTTTGGATCCTGGGGACTCCATCAGACATTAAATGGACGGTAAATTATGTATAATAGTAGTAGTATGATTATAGTGAGTGATAACTATTACAATTCCCAATGATACTTAAATCAGGGTGATTCATTGTGTATCCTCACTCTTGTAGTTAACTGTTGTAGCAAGTGTCTGGCTCTTAGAACCTAGAGCCGAGCCTATACCATCAGACTTATTAGATCCATTACCCTTGCTCTTTCTAGATCCTGGGGACTTTATCAGACATTAAATGGACGTTAAATTATTAGGTATACGTTGTATATTCGCATTATTCATGCGCCAGGTAATGTGTCAGTGTCTCCAAGCTTTATCCTTATTCTTGAATCGGGCTACGAAGGCAGCTTGGGACCGATTTAACGTTCGGCTGAATGATTAACTGCGTTTTGGGAGCGAATCTGTGATACCACCTAACCGTTTATCTCTCTCTCTCCCGATATCTTCGAGTTACTCTCATGGAGTATACGTTATTGGATTGCGGGGTATACCGCGATTCAATTATTTACACACATTCTATCTCTCTCGCTCTCTCTTTCGCGATCGCGTAATAGAACCGCTGATTTATACTGGTTTAACTCGACCGTCTATCGTCCGAGCCGCTTTCAAATTAGTTTGGAGCGTATCGGAGCAAAATGTGTTTTTCAAGAGCATCGAAATTCTCTGAAATCTCACCTGCGCGAGCACACAAGGGAATTGGTTATCAGTGTTGCGAGCGGAAAGATTGACATTGATAACAGACCGGATCAATCCTAGTTTTTAAAAAAAATCCCTGTTTTCCGATGCGCATGAGGAAGACGAGAAATGTAAGTGAAAGCAGACAGCCGTTATTCCTTAAAAACGTAAATGTTTCAGATGATAAGAAGAGACGTTTCGCGAAACAATCGGTGTATGCACTTGATTCGCCGGGCTCTAATCACGGTATTATGCTACACGCGACGGATAAACTCGCGAGGTCGCGTGAGACTAAACAAAAGGAGGGAGAGAGAAAGAGAGAAAAGACGTCGGGAATTTATGCAGCCAACCAGGCGACGTCGACAAGACAGCTAGCTCGCTTTATGCTGATCCTCTTATTCCGGAACCGCGAGAATCCATCCGCGCGCACGCCTAAGCAACACGTATCCGTCTGCTCGCGTTTACAGCTCGTAGAACAGGAAGAGAATTGGAGAATGAGAGAGAGAAAGCTTGAAGGAAAATGGAACAGCTTATACGAACCGAATCGTGAATACGTGGAATTAGGATCGCGAAAGAATCGAGCGCGTCGATTCAGAATACTCAAAATCCTCTATTATTTGAGACGGAAAAGAAATCATTTATATAGCTGTCGAATCATTCCATTTTTCGTGGCTGGAGAGTAAATGGAATATTCTGCGAGCGAAATAAAATTTGAAACATAAAAAATGCGACGAAATAATAGACCATTGTGAAGTTGGTATTCTTACTTCCAAAAATCGGAAGTTTTATTAACTGTTCTATTTGCATTCGCAACAATTCTGATATATTTAAAAAATATAGACGTTATTTACTAACATCAAGGCGTTATTTACTAACATCTACTAAAAAGCAAATGAAAAATATAGGATCGAAAGGGTCTGAATAGCTTAGTTGGTAAGAGCAGTCGTCCGGAAAGTGAAAGACGCGGGTTTGATTCCCGCTTCAGCGACTTTTCGGACCTATATTTTTCTCGCCTATTTCTCCATATGTAAGTTCGAGATTCATTTATAAATGGAACTTACAATTAGTAATCTCAAACCAAGAGATGTAAAAAAGAATTTTGATTTAAATTTAAAAAAAAATCATAACCAAACTTTCTATTTGTTCGGTAGTATATGCTATACTTCCCATAGCATCCTCATTTAAATATTTTTAAACAATTTTTTTTATCTCAGAGCTAACACATATTCCAGCGGTTTTTTGACAAATCTCGACAGTTCTCGCATAGTTCTGACAGTTTTAATAGGTTTTAGCAAGTTTCGGCCTTTAAATATTTTAAAATAATTTTTGAATTTCAGAGATAGCGTCGTACTTTCTGGAGAATTATGAGGTGTTGGCTATTCTCACGATTTTTTGTCAATTCTCACATAATTCTAACAATTTTGAATAGGTTTTAACAATTTAACAATATAGTTTCGGCTTTTTAATATTTTTAAATAACACTAGTTTACAAAAAAAATTTTTATTATTTGAAACCAGACAAGATGTTTCTTATACATTTTCAGATGCTAAAAACAATGCCACAAACCAATTTTCACCAGTTTCCAAAATCATTGAGTTATCTTGGAATTCTGATTGAATGTCGTAAATGTATTGTTCATCCCCTATAAAATGAATTTTTTTTATTTCGATAGCTTACTTTTTAATCACGTCAGGAAAAATTTAAATATAGAATTTTGCTGATTGTGACATAGTAAATATGCCGCCTCTAATAATAATTATATGTATAATCACAATTAAAAAATAAGATATTGAAATAAAAAAAATGTATTTTATAAGTAATAAACAATACATTTATGATAATTGATCAAACTTTCCAGATAACATTAACCTTTTTATAAAAAAAAATTCAAATATTGCAAATATTAAACTTTATTTACACATATTTTTTACACATTAAATCTCAATTATTTCGGAAATCTGACATGCTAGTAAAATTTGATTCGCAGCATCGATTTCTAACTGTAGAGCTGATTATTCCTACTTTTTTTTACAGTTTCTCAACAATTCTTGCATATTTCAGTTTTGATAGGTTTTAGCAATACAATATAGTTTCGGCCAGAATATTTAAAAGCTAAAATATGTCTGAATAATGGTCAGTATTTGCTGTTATCTAAATAAAATTATATGGATGATTATCTAGACGAAGCTTTGGCGTCATCTTATCTTTATATATGTATATCTTTATAGATAATAAATTTTATTATCTTTATAGATAATAAAAATCTGTATTATCTATATCTGTATTATCTGCATCTTAGATGAAAAAAGTATCTATTATCTTTACAAAATTATCCAGAATAATTTTTAGATAATTTTGGTTTAGAATCATAGCACATAAAAATACTTAATTTTTTATTTTTATAAATAAAAATATGAATACATATATTTTATATATCCCTTTTATAATATACATTTTTTTATAACTGTGTTTACATAAGCAGTCTTAAAAATTATTATCTAGAAAATTATCTAGGTGTGTGAATCGCCATTTTTATCTAGATATATTTAAAACAAAATCATCTTCATCTTATCCAATAAAATGAATTTCCATATTTTTATCTCATCTTTATCTAGATAATGTTAAAATCATCCACGGTCGTATACACAGGTCTGGCAACTCTCATGGTGGAGGTAAGGCTCTTAATGAATGTCAAAAGTTTCTTGAGTTAATCGCTAGCCGTATGGCACTGTGATCGCATAGTAAGAGTTCTTTTTTTTTAAATGACTATATCCATAACTCATATGTCATATATATCATATGTCATATCTGTTTAATTAAAATTTCATTAAAATGCCGTCGGAATGTGTTGTGCCGAATTGTACAACAAATAAATATAAGTGCATAGAAAAATGGTCAACTTTTCAAGTGCCAAAAGATGAAAATCTTCGTGCAAAATGGACAGCATCAATTCCTGGAGTAGAGTGTTTGCGATTAAATCAACGCGTGTGTGAGAAACATTTTGAAAAACATTTTGTCATTAAAGAATTTGTAAAATACGATAATAGTGGAAAACTGATAGCTCAGGTAAAATTTTAAAAGATATTTGAACTAATTTATATCTTATAGATATAAGCTCTTTACTCAGCGATCACAGCGCTCTGCGGTTAGCGACCGATTTATGAACCACAAATCATGACATTAAGAGCCTTACCCCCACCATGAGAGTTGCCAGATCTGTGTATACGACCGTGAAATCATCTAATCACAACACTGATAATGCTAAAAAGTTAGAAGTAAATGAACTTATTTTCGTTTCGTCGATCGTGTGTTCCAGGCATATTTACGGTGATGTGTTACAACGTGCTGTGCGACAAGTACGCGACGCGGCAGATGTACGGCTACTGTCCGAGCTGGGCGCTGGACTGGGAGTACCGGAAGAAGGGCATCCTCGACGAGATACGGCATTACGCGGCGGACATCATCAGCCTGCAGGAGGTCGAGACGGACCAATTCTACAACTTCTTCCTGCCGGAGCTGAAGCACGACGGCTACGACGGCATATTCTCGCCTAAGTCCCGCGCGAAAACGATGGCGGAGAACGACCGCAAGTACGTCGACGGCTGCGCCATTTTTTATAGGACCGCCAAGTAAGTGCATTCCTCTGTCTCGTAGCCCCAAAATGGACGAAAATGGCGAATATATTGTGGCGTCCGCCGTAAAAACGAACTCGAGGATAAAAATATCTACTTTATTATCTACCCTCTCTTCGCAAAACGTCGTACATTCATTTTAATACTTTGTTTTAGTCTTCTCAGTCATGTTTCTCCAAAAATAGTTTCATAAACTTTAATGTAACCTTTAATATCTCTTGTACAATTATTTTTTATTGTACACCGAGAAGGAAAAAAGTATATAGAGTAATGATTGAAAAATTAAATAAATAACCGGTGATGATCGATGATAGATAATCGATTTTAAAGCAATTTAGTTTAAATATTCAAAATCCATTATGCATGTGAGGATTTTTATATTGTTTATATAGCTTATATATGTGTGTGAAGGGACGTTCCATTAATTCGTCATTTTCATCTGCATATTTTCTCATTACGACAAGCGTGTTCTAATTGCCTCGCATAGAAAAAAAAGACGATTATCGACAGTCTCGATTCTCCGGCGATTCCTCGATTTATTAAGAGGCGTGGCAATTTAATTAATAAACACGACGGCGCAACAGAAAACTCTGTCCGATTTAATACAGTTATCGATCACGCGCGATCGAATACTTCGCGAGCGAATGTGCCCTGAAATTTTTCAAAAGTTATTCGTTTTGTTCAGATTTTATATATATGTATATATATATTACAAAATTGAAGCAATTAAAAAATTTTGATAACCGATTGATTTTTTAAACAATAATCTATTACTTCAATGTATAAAAATTATCTTTTCTCTCGTAATATATTTTTTTAAACCGGGTGTGTATGATTTTATTCGTATTTGTATTTTTTTTAATTAAAAAAATAATAGTTACATATAAATATTATGAGTGACGATGTAAATGTGATGAAATATTTTTGATATAAAAACGCTTTTCGTCGTTTTGTTTAAAAAAAGCCAGCCGGTGATGAAATAATTTGTTACATTGTCATTTTCACAAGGGAGATTTCACATTACGATATTCAATTATTATATCGAAGATTATTATCGTCGCCGTCTTTGCAAAATTATAAAGCCGACTCCGCTTATCATCGTTGCTTCGATACCGGAAAAGAGCTTGAGCTCTTCCAAAGTGCGATATTTAATTTCAAGCGGGATGAAAGACGCGTTCGCTCGTAATTTAACAAAGCGTCGCGCGCGTGTCTGCCGTGTAATAACGTCATGGTAATCCAATATCGCGTCAGATAGTAACGCGCGTCGTAAATCGCCCGTTCGTGTTTAATAGAAAAGCGAACGCGTCGCCTTCGCGAGCGTATTTTTTTTTATATTTGATAAATTAACCGGAAATCGATAGATTTCCTTTATGAAATAGTGTCTGCGCTTGGAAATAGAAGGGAAGTAGTAGAAGCTATAAAATCAGATATATACATATACATATATGGGAGATGTTTCGAAATAAGAACGAGAAATTTTTGGAAATCATTTTTTGTCGAAAATTAAAACGATACAGGGAAATTAAAAAATATTAATACATTTTTTTACTAGTGGAAAAAAATCTTTTTAAATTTGTCCAACATTTGAGAAAAAAATTATAAACCTAATTTTCATCTCCCCTTTTAGGGGAGTGTAAATCTTCAGAGAGAGATATAAGAATATATGTTTATATGAAAAATTCCCCTAAAGGGAAACTAAGAACTCCTATTCAATTTTTTATTAAAACTTTTTATGCATTGAAAAGCTTGATTCCTTCAGAAACTTTTTTATTTTTTTTATTTTTTCGTAAAATCAATAATACATTTTCAAGAAAAAAAAAATAAAAACCTAATTTTCATCTCTCCCTTTGGAGAAGTGTAACTTTTTAGAGAGGAATATAGGAGTATATGTTTATATATATATAGATATATATGTGTGAAACCCCCTGCAATTTTTGACAAAGAATCTTCTAAAATATTTTATAATTCTTTAGAAAAACCCTCTATATAAAATAAATAAATAATCTGAAATATTCTTAAATATTATAATGAATAAAGTAAATAAAATAAAATTTAATCAAATTGAAATTTATATAAAGTAAAAATGTAGGGGGAAGGGGGATAAATTGTCTAAATATATAAAATAAGATAAATATATTAAACAAAAATTGTAGGATTTCTTGAACATAATGACAAAGTTGGCCTTAAATGGCGTTTTTCAAGGTCGTTTGAAGGTCAACTTATTATTATTTTTTTTTTAAGAAACCACCCTAAAAATATTTTTATGTAAAAACATATCAATTCTTCACAATATTCAAAATTAACACAAATTCGATATTAAAAAGGGCAAAGATCCCCGAGATAATTTTACGTCATATGCGCGCACGTAGAGACATGACGTTCAGATTTCAATGACCCCGATATATACACGGCATCGAAATTATTGCAGGACATGTTGCGGCAACGTCGATACACACAAATTGCCTTTCGCGACGGCATCGAATGGAACGTCGCAGCTGCACACCGTCTATGACGCATTAATCATCGACGGCCGCCGCCGCGCCGGGTCGCAGCTACATACCGAGATATCTATTTCGACTAATGCTTATTTTCAGAGTATCTCGTGACATAATGGCAGGTCTCGCGCGATATCGCGTCGCAATGCCAACCCCGGGGGCTATCGAACCGCGAGCGCGACGATTAATGCGCCCCTATACATACGTGTATGTGTGTGTTTGTAACGGTACCCTTTATAACCCGCAACGTGGTCGTAAATAGCTCGAGCGAAGTAAATGTGTCTCTCTGCGCGACAATATTAAGACCGATGGCGGCGAATGAATCCCCTCCCCTTTTACCCTCTTCCTTTTCCCTGTCGCCCCTTTTAAACGCTTTACCAGCGCCGTTTTAAACCCTCTCTCATACTAGCATATTTGTAACATTGAACATTCTGTATTTAATTGATATCTGGAATATTCGTAACTCGAGTTTTTATATCGGGATTTCGAATTTTTTTATAATATTAATAAAAATTTTTTATAGATACTTTATATTTTATCAGGGTACATATAAATATTACACTAATTTACAGCTAAAAATTATTTTAAATCAGGCAAGTATTTTTTTATAGATTTTTGCATGCTGAAAACGATACCGTAAACTAGCATGTCAGATTTTCAAAATAATTGAAGTTTAATGTGTGAAAAATGATTTTTTTACATTAAAAATTTTTTTGTAAAAAAGATTAATGTTATCTAGAAAATTTGATTAAATATCATGAATGTATTGTTTATCGCTTACAAAATGCATTTTTTATTTCAATATCTTACATTTTAGCCATATTATGAAAAATTAAAGCTAGAAACTACTTCTCATATGGAAATGTTTCTGACAAAAGTCTTTTGGAAAAATATTTTTTTTTTTTTTGAAAATTGATTTTGTCTTTTTTTATTTGTCCTTCTTTAGATTATACAATTTTTTTCGAAAATTCATTTGTTTCGAAAAATTCAAGATGGACAATTCAAATGAGACCCTTTTATAAATATAATTATTTGACTTCTTCATAGAGATTGAATATTTGCTATCTCAACAAAATTGTATTTAAATCCTTTCTAACATGACTAAAAAATAAGATATTGAAATTTAAAAAAATGCATTGTATAGGGGATAAAACATTCATGACATTTTCTGATCAGAAAATTTTTATATAACGTTAATCTTTACCATTTAAAAAAAATCTGAAATATCGCATAAAGCTATTTTTCATATTAAACCTGAATTATTTTGAAAATCTGACATGCTGGCAAAAATTAACTTGCGGCATCGTTTTTAGCACCCAAAAATCTATAAGAAACATCTTGTCTGGTTAACAATAATAAAATAAAAATATTTTTGTAAACTAATGTTATTAATAAAATATAAATATATATTATTATGATGCATAAATACGTTTTTAATATAAAAATTGCTAAAGAAATTGTTACCCCGCACATAGAAATTGGAGATCGGCTTGTTTGACGTTTGTCTGACATCTGTCTGACCAAAACGCGCTTGCACTACTCACAGAGACTTAGTTCGTGTTTCTTTCCCTTCTCGTCACCTCTCGCCATGAATTTCCTCAGCCGAAGGTGATGAGAAGAGAGGAAAGAAAAAGAAGAAGACGGGGAGCTTACGGGGTCTTGCTTTTACGGCTTGCAAAGACGGCGGCCATCGATTTCAATCCGGCTGAACAACGCGACCAAATCGAGCGAACCAAATCAACGCTCGCGCGATGAGCGTAAAGTTCAACTCGCGTTCAATTTCCGCCTTCGGCGCTCGCCCCTCGATCATTCCTCGGCTTTATTGCCTCTTCGCGGATTATACGGCGCAATGTCGAAGAGTGCCGTTTATAAAAAAGGAGAGAGAGAGAGGGAAAAAACGATCGGAAGAAGAGAGAGTTTAATGTTCGCGCGATACGCAACAACACCGATAAAATTCTACAATCCATTAGACGGTGAATGTTTTTTTTTTTTTCAGCGCGCCAAGTTTATATTCTTTCGCGAAATGAGAAGAAACACTTTGTATATAAAACATTATGTTTCCTTATATTTTTAGATTTTAAGAGGATGCCGGATTAAGTCTGTTTTATCGATCGAAAAGTGAGGTTGGAATCTAAATTTTGATATTTTTTATTTATATTGTTATTGGTTATGCAGATTGATAAATACTTTTGCACAATTAAAGTATTAATATTAATAAACCATGTTAATTTATAATTTCAGATAATAAACAATTAGTATAGCCAATAAATAGTTTTATAGTCGAATCTAACCTCATTTTTCGATCGATAACACGAAACTGACATCCTCTCAAATATATAAAATCGAATTTTTTTAATTATTGTGTTTTTAAGGCACTTTCGATAATCTGACAAAGAAGGTCGTGGACAGAAATTTATCAGTTTCTAATCCACAAGAAATCGTAATAATAAAAATTTAAACACTTTGTTTGATAAAAAAACAAGGTCACCGTAACTTTTTTAATATGAACCACCTGAATTTTTTTTAATATAGAGTAATATCATTTTAAATTACATTACAACTCAATAAACAATTTTAAAATTGCTACAGCATAATTTTTCGCTATAGAATTACAAGTCTAAATTTACGTAAATAATAAAAAAACTCGACTTAATTAGTAAACTTAATTAGTAAACTTATCAGTTTATCGTGTGTTTTGAATGTCTGATACATAATGAATCGCTATTATAACATGGAAAAATTAGATATGTTACTCTTGGGTTAAATGATCAAAACCATCAAAATAATCAAAATCATGAAATGGTCAAATTGTTCAAACTAATACAATCAAAACGATCTATAATAATAATATAATCTACATATAATCAAAATGATCAAATCGAAAAAATAATGAAAATGGTCTAATCAAAATAATTATTTTTTTATTGTTTCGGTCGATTTGATCGAAATAATTGCAACGATTAAAGCGATCGAAATGATAAAAATGATCAGTACAATCAAAATAATAAAATAGGTTAAAATTTGTAAAATAATACAAATGATCATAATGATTGATTATTGAATTCGACTCACAAATTTTTTCATTGAACTTGATCCCACCCTCAAGAAACCCATAAGAAATTTTTTTAAATTAAAAAAGTGTGTCAGTGATGCTTCAGATACTAGGGAAATCAATTAGACTTTCAGAATTTCCATCCCTTTTCTTACACTTTTGACGAATCTTAACTCAACCTTCTCTCTTTTCTGCCTGGAACGACTGTAGATGACGTTGATTTAATCTTGTTTACGACTGCGGGGGAGGCTTCCTCGGGAACGGGGAAGTGGAAAAGAGGTAGAGGTTGGGGGATGATGGCTCGTAATGGGTATTTGGCGAAGAATATATTTCTCAAGCATACGTGCCGCACATATCGGAAGTAAAGAGAAGGGGAGAGAAAAAGTCCTGGGCATTCTACATCGCGTACGTGATACGCTTTTCTCACGAGTTCTCTTTCTCTCTCTCTCTCTCTCTCTCTCTCTCTCTCTCTCTCTCTCTCTCTCTCTCTCTCTCTCTCTCTCTCTCTCTCTCTCTCTCTCTCTCCGGCTGCGACGAAAATCGTCCGATACCGACGACGACGTCGCGTCTCTCTTATAGTTGTACTTGCGAGAGCGCGCGCTCCCTCGCCAAGTCTCTTTTCTTCTACGTCTCCACGGGACGAAATTGAGTCTTGCCAGCCCTTTGCCAGGACTTAAACGACCGATTGAGAGAAAGGACCCGGAAATTCTTTTCCCGACACATAGTTTCGCGCGACACGTGACTCGTGTCGTCGTAGCTGCGCGATGACAATTGACTGCGGGCCTTGATGCGACAGAAAGCAGATACTACGTTTAAGAAAATAATTTCTCTTATTTAATCACTCAAGATACTACATATAATTATTTATAAAAATATATGTACATAAATTAAAATTGGATATATATATATATATATATATATATATATTATTTTAATTAAATTTATACAATTTATATATTATAGATACCATTTATAAATTATTATACTATTTATATATTTTTTTTCTTTACATGCTTTCTCGAATTTACTTGCGCCCGAAGGAATTGATTTTTATATTTAACAACAAACTCCGCACCCTCTCTCCTGATGGAAACTGGAATTAGCTGGTTTCTTCATATTATATAGTTGTGACCTGCTGAACAAAAGATATAATAGCTTCAAAGCTAAATAATGGACAGTAAGTGAGTACAGCCAGTCAAACAAAATTCGCAAAGCCCAAATTTTTCATGTTTGACTAGTTGTAATCAGTAGGTAACTATTTATTATTTAGCTTTTGTTTAGCAGATCATAAATTATAACATAAGAGAAAAACCAGTTGATCTTACCAAGATTCAATTTTATATAGGATTAGTGTGGGGTTTTTAAACTTATATATGAAATCATAGATGAAACTGAATCCCGGTAAAATCAAAAAATTGTTTGACTGGCTCAGTAACTGTCCATTGTTTAGATTTGAGATTATTATATCTTTTATTGAGTAGATCATAAGCTATAATATATGAAAAAACCTTAATTCTACTGAAATCCAATTTCCATAAAGATTGTGCAGGATCCTTTAAGAACCTGTTGAAAGATAAGAACTTAATAAATATATTTAGTCTATCCAAATTTATTTCTTTTTCTTTACAGATTTTCCCTGATAAAGGAGCATTTAGTTGAATTCAATCAATTGGCGATGGCGAACGCGGAGGGTTCGGACAACATGTTAAATCGAGTCATGCCCAAAGACAACATCGGACTGGCAGCATTACTTAGGACTAAGGAAGCCGCTTGGGATAATGGTAAGTTCATGATACGAGATCTATATTTCTCTCGATATAAAATATTATTTGCAGAAGTATATGCGAAACTAAGATTATTATGAAATTATCTGAAAATTATCTTATCGATCAAGCAAATTTCCAATTCAAAACCGATAAAAGGATTCGTTGACTCAATTTTGCGAGAACTTACTCTTAAGTGAATCATATTAACACTTAAGGGGATGCTGACCATGTCTGTTTTATTGATAAGTATTATTTTTATTTAACTATTTATTGGTTATACAGAATGAAAAATCTTTTACTAGAATTTATTACTAAATCTTCTTCCTTCCTTTATGGCAATGAAACGCACAGTTTTATGTTCGTGGTTTCAGGCTGCCAGATTATCTTCTAAGTTAGTATTGAGTTTTATTTGTTTGTTTTGAGCTTATGTAAGTGTAATGTGTGTAAGAGTGTCGGTGTAAATGTAAGTGTATCGGCCAAAATAGTCGTACAAAAAAATTTTTTTCAGACGAAACACATCCGAACACGTCAACGAACGCCAACGAACTTTATTACTAAATAATTACAGTTTTTTATCGGTCTTTTGCATTGAGTCAACCTAACGATAAGAAAACTCTAATTATTTAACTTTTTTGGTTTCTTTTTATATACACATATAATAGCCCAGATTTATTATTATGAATACTTTAAAATTTTAGTAAAGGATTTTTCATTCTATAAAGACAATCAAGAGTTAAATGAAAATAATATTTATCAATAAAACATACCTAGTTAGAATCCCCTTAACGATATGAAGGAAAATATAGTTATCACTTTTAATAGTATATCTGAAAATAAATAATTTCGAAGTGAAAGAGAGTTAAAGATGGCGCGTGTATGAGAATCCGAGAAAATAAAATAGGGGGAAAAAACCGAGAGAGGCGCGGCAGACGCTAACTGAGCATCTGCTCGTTTTACACACACTCATGGTGATTCGCGCGTATATCCAGCGTGTTTGCACACCCTGAAAACACGAAAGTAATTAACGCGCCGGTAACCGATGAAGCTGCCTGGACTACTACTACCGGACACGCGCAATATACAGAAGTCCACGTTTTTCCCGCGGTCGTGGAAGCTCGCACGCTCGATGATTGAAGCGAGTAAATCGAGCACGATATACTCCGATCCGGTATACACAGGGTGATTCAACATTACCACACTTGCACACTGTGTGTTTCTACGATTGACACGGAATCGTCCATTTTTTTAAATATTATAATATAAAAAAATAACTTAATATTATAATTACTTAATTATCAAAATTATTTAATTAACAAAAATATTATATAAACTGTTAATAAAAATAATATTCCAATTGTATATAAAAAGAATCGAAAATTTTTAGGTATTACTGTATTACATTCTTTTGCAGAATTTTAATTTTAAAATTGTGTTAATTATATCGAAATTATACTTCTTATTCTGTCACAAAGAAATATTGTGTAAATATATTTTTAATAAAAAAAATATATAATAAAGACTGTTTCTAAATAAATGTGACAACTTTAGGAAATTATTCTTTGTCAAAAATTAAAGAGATTTTAGGAGAATCATTTCCTAAAATTTTTCGCATTTATTTAGAAACACTGTATATATATTTTTATAGAATTTTAATTCATAAAAAAATTAAAACAAGTTGCCCAGTTATCCAGTTATAAGCGTTCATATAAATAATTAATCAAATATTTTTTAAAAATAGTATTGGTTCCTAATTCTAAAATTTATCGAAAAGAGAACACCCTGTATAGCAAGTGTATCGCGAAATGCACGAGTGTAAACCAGGCTCGAGATTTATATGGTGCCCCAAAGGTCGAGAGCTGGGCTCTTACGGCTCACTTCGACGCGTCGGAACGTGCTCTCGTTAATGAGCCATTACCCGCGTTACATTAATCCATACCGGGCGCAACGACCGGTCGGGAAAGAGCCGCGGACTCTTTTCGTTTCCTAGCGAGAGAGAAGAGGTGTAATCGATCGCGTCTGCGAAACCGACGACTCCACGCAGCCTCTTGCGTTGCGGTTAACACCTGATTAACTTCTCGTATATACATTGGAAGTTATTGCCGCGACGTAAATCACTACAACAGTCGTTAGATTATCAAGCGTTCTTCCTACTTGCAGGTACTATAGAGATATAAATATTTAAATCCAGAATTATATATATTGTAACATTTTTCTAATTTTTAAGGAGATACTGACTAGGTCTGTTTTATCGACAAATATTATTTTTATTTAATTCTTTATTGGCTATACAAAATAAAAAATCCTAGAATTAAAATACTAGAAAAATACTAAAATTAAAATATTCAAAATAACAAATCTGGACTACTACATATGTATATAAAAAAATAAGAAAGTTAAATAATTACAAATTAATATTGAGAGCCGATAAAAATATATTTCTTATCTGATTAAATAATTACATAAAGTATTACACATATAAAAGGCTAATAAGAGCAGAAGTAATATTACGGTTATAAAAACTAATTTATTACATTTAATCAATATGTACTGATAGAAACAATAAAGTTTAAATTAATATAAAAAATTATAAAAATAAACTCGAAAGTTTACATTTACGTTACTGTGGGAAGCGATCCTCTTTAGTTTTCTGACTACGAGGTTGGCAGGTGTTAAAATATAAAACATTAATCGTATCCTATAAATTAAAATAATTTTCTCATTACACCTCACTAATTATAAGATCCACAATCAAGTGCGTTATAAAACAATAATCTAACAAATGGTAAAAAAAAATATGCTAATAAAAACTTACATATATTTATGATGTGACAGTATTTTAATTGTAACAGTAACAAAAGTGACGCTAGTGTAATCCTCATGTCAGTAGAACGGCTCAGAGGAAACTAAAGCTCAGTTGGAAACGAAAAGTGACAAACAACTATAATCATTTTGTGTTTGTTATTACTGTGGTTGTTTGTACTGATAGAAACTTTATTGTTTCTATCAGTAATTGATTAAATGTAATAAATTAGTTTTTATAACCGTAATATTACTTCTACTCTTATTAGTCTTTTATATGTGTAATACTTTATTTGAATTAAAGAGCATTTAATTAGTATATATTAAATAATTACAGTTTTTCTATCGATCTTTTACATTGGGTCAACCTAATCTAAACAATAAAAAACTGTAATTATTTAATTTTCTTGGTTTCTTTTTAAATACACATACAGTAGCTCAGATTTGTCATTATAAATACTTTAATTCTAGTAAAGGATTTTTCATTCTGTAAAGCCAATAAAGAATTAAATGAAAATATTTGTCGATAAAACAGACCTAGTCAGCATCCCTTTAAGGAAATCCCTCAGCGAACGACAAACTCCGACAAAATAGTAGCGCCCTCATTTTGGAATTAAAAATATCGGTAATTATATCGACTGATGTTCGAAGAATAATTACTGATATTAATGCGACAAAAGACTAAAAGTACAAAAATAATAATAATTAATCGATAAAACAATCGTGAAGGATCCTCTTAATGACGAGTAAAATTTTGGTCATAATTGGAAGTAAATATTTTTACAGGCGTCTGTATAGAAATGTGTATATGTTTACACTCTTTACGCAACAATAGTAAGCATTTTTTTCAAGTTCTCTGAAAAAAATAAGGGATCTCTGATATCTTCTCTTTGCCTAAGAGAATTTCCGCGCGAATGAAATTAATTCGACCACCCGCGTCGAGAACTTCGTATGACTCGCGGCAGTTTCTAAACTTCTATACGAATTTTGCGAAGTATATGTATGTATATGTACTCGCGTCGCATTACATTTCTCGCTTTGAAGCCGTCGCTCAACTTCCTTATATATACTTAAGACTTGGCCAATTGAATAATCATGAATAATCAGAGAACATGGCGTAAACTAACGCTAAGCTGTAGCATTTGAGCGTATAAACAGCCTAGTCAAATATAATGGTGCACACATTCATTGATGTAGTCTCCCGATGTACCTATAAATATATTATTTAACACGTTTCTCTCAAATTTGAGTACTGAAAAAATTGTATTCTTATTTTAAGGATTTTCTATTTACTTTTTAGAACATTCTGTTTAGATAGAATGTTCTAAAATGATGCCAAAGGAATCTTCTTAAAAAGGGAATCCTTTAAAGATTAGTATCACTTGTGAACACTTCTCTTAAGTCGTTCGAGTCTTCTTTTTCGAGCCACTTAACTTCATCTATACTTCTAATAAACTACAAAATCATTCAGTGACATAAACATTACACTGGATTGTAAATAGCAACATTATACATTATATATATATATATATATATATATATATATATATATATACATATACATATACATTGCAACAATGTGACAACATATAACACCAAATGAACAGTCTGCATAAAAAAAGCACGACGTATCTATTATTAACAAAAAATATTTTTAGTTTTAAAGAATGTTTTAGTAACATAAGAGGGATTTTTAGTTTGTACATTTCTCTTAATTTGAGACTATAATTGTTTTGGTGAACTAAAATCGATAGCCGCTTTCAATAGAACAAACCGCGAGTAACACTCGAACGTAATTGGTTCTTCCTTTAAAACCAACAAATCAACGTAGAGTGTTGATAAGACAAGTGTTGACAACTTAGCAGTTGTTTACAACTGTTGTAAAATTTGTGAATCTAATTGGTATATGCTCTTAGGTTAGGTTAGGATCTTAGATTCAGCTAAGATGAAAAGCATATAAATAAGATTCACGAATTTTACAACAGTTGCAAAGCTGCTTTTTCTACTGCACGCAGCCAAAATGTTTGGCCCAAATAATACTGCCAGTTTATTAAATCATAGTGAAGGAAAGATCGGACCTAAAGGAATGTTAGAAACGTAGAATTTTCAGCTGACTTTTGAGGATAAAAAATATACGTACGTAATTGGAAAGACTCATTTTAGTGCTTAAGTGTGCGATAAGAATACTCGCGTAGGTCGATGTTCTCTTCGCGGAG